TGCAACAGTTCTGGAAGTTGGTTTGCTAGGAGAGATAACTGAACGAAAAGTAAATTGTTTAGGCACTCGATGTGTTGAAAATGTGACTTTTTGAAATATTTTATCAAAAAAATTTCTTGGAATACTAGGAGATGTAAATGTGTATGTACCGACATGTTTAGGCTTTAATGTAACAGAATTTGGTTTAGTTGTAGAATTTACTTTTGTTGTAGTTTTAGGTGTAGAAACAGGCGTGGCAGAAGTACCTAAAACATTTTCAGTTATTACAGGAATCGGGAACAAAGGTTTGCTGACGTATTTTGGAAATTTATGAGGTTTTAAAGTAATTTTAGTGGGAATAGATTTAGTCGCGAATGATCTAGCTCGAAGGTTCGGTGCTTTTGGATCTTTCACTCCTTTGTCATTTCTCTCTGTTTCTTTCTCTTCCTTACTCCTTAATGGTTTTTTATTTTTGTTTACCAATATTTTTAGGTCTCTAAAGAAAGCGTTCACTATCTTCATCCTTTCCTGGTGTTTTTCCATAAGTTCTGTCTCGTTGAAGTCATCTAAAAGGGGGTTTTTGCGTTTTAATACTTTCACAAAAAGTTTAGTGCCTCAAAAAGTGTTCAGAGTAGCTGAATTAGAATGTGATATTTCTAAGTAATATACAATATACTGTGTGACTACGTTGCTTCGGAAATTGGAAAGGTAACAGAATATTCTATAAAGTCTGTGTTTGTCAAAAATTATGGAATATGTTAAAAATCAGAATAAATTAGTACGGTACCTGTTTTGTTAAGGTCATCACTATTAACTAGACTATAGTGTAAGAATAAAGCTAACAATAACATTAGCCTAGTAGACTCCATGTTTATGAACCTTTTTATCTCTTTGTTTTGTCATCTGGACTTAGGGACATATTGAAACTTCATTTAATTTCCATAAAAAAAATTTAGCACTGCGTATAATATTTATTTAAAATGGTTTCGTAGTAATCGATGTAGCGCATAAAAATATTGCGTTTATTTTTATTAATTTTATGTCATTTAATGTTAATACAGACACTTTTTGTCGATTCAATAATTAATGCGTATGTAATCGCACGACTTCTGACTGCTTTAATTTTTAAAATGTTTTTATCAGATTTTCATAAATAAAAGAGAACACAAAACAAGAAAATATTGAAACGAACGTTGAGTTTAAAATCAGTAACAATTCCAATGTTTATTGCCAATAAAATAGTTGTAGTAATTTTATTGGATTACAAATATAAAAATAGTTGCTCGCGCAATGTATAATAAGTTTGTGGTACAATAAAATGTTAGTATTTTTATATTAAAATGAAAATGTTTGCTTGTGTTCTGCTGGTCACCATATTCGGTATTTATTTTATTTATATTAAATTTAACATTTCATTCAGTTTCTCTCGAATATCACTTGTTTAATACAATTTTATTGTATAGCATCATTGATATATTTTTCGGTTAGTTGCTTCGAAATTCTTAAATCTAAAACTCGAATTTGACATTTGTGTAGAGAAGTGACTGTATTGGATTCTCTACATGTCTGCAATTTTACAACAACACATTTTGGTTACGAGAATTATAGGCAAACGGATATAGATTCTGTGAAGTCAAAATTAAAATTCTTCTAACTTTATCACATTCTCTTAAGCAGACGTTCCAAAAAAATTACGTTGAGTTTTCGATAGAAAACTCATGGAAATCTCCTACTAAAGTTAGGCTATTACAAACGTGTAAACTTTCACGTCAAGAGAATGTGACAATGCCACACAACTTGCATAAATGTGAGCGAGAGATCTGATATAAATGTCTTATGATATTTGACACGTTTGTAACGGCCCAACTATTACGTCCATCATCCATGGCGTTTAAACTGCCAGAATTCCAACCCGGTTAAAATTAAAATGAACGAATAATTTATTCAAATTTTATATAACAATTCTCATATTCCAGCTCATACAAACACACTGCCACAGCAACCTGAGGATCCAGACAAAAATGTCAATCTGGCTTTAGAAACTGTTCTAGAGTTTTCTAATAAATACCAATCAGGCGAAGAAAAACTGCTAAACGTCGTTCAAAATTTTATCAACCGACTTAAAGATGAAATGCATCATGATAAACCAAGTAACTCTGGAAAACATTCAAGGAGATCTTCAAGCGATAGCAAAGATGAACTAGAAATACTAGGCCTAGCAAAGGCCTAGCAAAATCATCGATAGATTAAATTATTTAGAGAATCAGGTAGATGAAATAAAGCAAAACAACTCCGTGAAGGATTGTTTGACAAATGACAAAAACCAAACTATGAATTACTTCAGTAGAAGTAGTAGCGGAAGAGATAAAAATGGCGACGAATTTGTCAAACTTGTCGAAGTCCAAAAAGGAAGTTTGAGGCAAAAGTATAACATTACAGATGACACGAGCGACATTGTTATTAGGAAATGCGATAAATGTGACGTTTCAAGGATATATAAAAATATCTTAAAGACAAACGTGAGAGAAACGAATGAAGCTACATCATCGAATCATACGAACACGTTTATGACAACGTCTAATCTGAAATTATATCAGGAGGAATTGAATCCGCATCATCATCATCACAACAGACCAAGAATGAATACAAGAACTAGAATATATCACACAACTGCAAAATCAAGTGATGAAGTCAAGTTAGACCAAATAATTGTAAGATTAAATAAAACGAAATTGTCATTGAATGAGAGACTAAGATCAGTTGATCTTACAACGATAGCAACAGAGGCTACGTCAACAGTAAATTTAACTCTAGCAACGAATGAAATTATTCGTAATTTTAGCAGAACCTTTCCTCTATCTGCTAGCTACGTCCCGATAGATGGTAGAAAGTTTAATGACAAAAATACAAGTTCTATTGGGGCATTGATAAACGAATTAAATGATAGGAAATTTGAAAGTCAAACTGCGATAGACAAAGCAATATCTAATAAAGTTATGGATTTTTTTTCTCTTCCACGTAATCCTGTATTTCGTCCGTCCAATGTATGGTGATTTAGTTTCAATAAATAAAAAATATCTCGAATTAATAAGACATTTTCGACTGTCCCATGACTTAATAAAGTTTTGTGGAAAGTAAATCGCTTTTACTTTTATCGAGCAATTTTAATTTTTTTTACAACGAATGTGTTCTTTCCTTGAGTCTCACGTTGGGCGCTAAATTACCGAGTTAGGTCAATAACAGTTCTAAGGCCCATATAGCTTGAAAAATCTTTTTCTTTTATGCTGGCTACTTTCGCGCCATTTCACCCGCTCTGTTCGGCTCCTATTAATCGTGGCTAAATACTATAGCATCCCTCGGTAAATGGGTTATCTAACACAACAATAATTTTTCAAATCGGGCCAGTAGTTGCTGAGATTAGCGCGTCCAAACAAACAAACTCTCCAGCTTTATATAATAGTGTAAGAGATATCAGATAATATTTTATAAACTTAGACTGCTTTTTTGGTTGTTGGAAGTGTAATTGCCGAGCAAAATGTCTCAGGATCGCTACCCAGCTCAGTCAGTCAGGAAATTTCACGGTGTTTGGACCTGATTTATGGCAAAAGTCGCACACCCATTATTACATGGGACTTATAGCATAAAGTAGGTGTTACATTGTATATGTGGACCTCTGAGTGTTATGTTATTATTAGTCTTGTAATTGCGGATGAAATTAAGTATGAATAATAAAAATGATAGAATTGCCATTAAGTATGTGATTGGTAGAAATGAAACTAATTAACATATTAAATTATTTAGAACCGGGGATACCCTGGTGAATCTTATGATAATACGATTCCACAATTAATTATTGCTGCTGCCATAATTATGTGTTTAGAATTCTGTCTCTAATTGCCATAAAGATAAAATGCTTAGTATATAACTATGCCAATAAATGTGGAGCGTGCCACCTGTTAGTTGTTCCTGAAACTAAATATCTTTAATTTATCTAGGTAGATGTCGCTACTGTTTGACGACGAAAATCAACTAAAAGTACCTACGTCACTAATTAAATCTGTCTGTATTATCGACAGTTCTACTTCTTGTCGACGATGTCATCCGTCAAATGTGTATGTGACAGATTAGAAATTTTAGAAAAGTTTCCCGCTCAAAAGTGGGAACTCACTACTCATGACTACTCAGTACTTATCTAAGGTGGGATTCGGCGCGGGGACGCGCGATTCGGCGAATCTGGTGGGAAGTTTGACGAGCATCACGCTGTGTTCTTAAAAGAATCCGTTATGAATACACTTTTCAGTATTCAAGTATTGAGTTTTACTTTAAAGTTTCAGAAGTGGTATAAGACTTACGTGCAGTGATAAGTGATTATATTAGTAAAGTTTGGTTTGGCAGCTGTACTATTACGAAAGAGGATGTATTCTTAAATTTAGCTTTTTGTGAAAGACAATCATCATTTTGTGCTCGGCCTATGAACACGATAAAACTTGCTTTTCGATGATTCTCAAAAACTTTAATCGCTAGCAAAGTTTTGTGATTGTGTGTTTTGTTGTGCTTATGAAGGATTCCACTTTTTCTACTCAATGCATGCTTGGCTCAAGTGCTTGAAACTGGTGATTGGTGAGCTTTTTCCATGTTGAACTTTTATCTATGCTTGAATTGAAATTGGACTCGATATAACTTGTTTATTTTGTAACAGTAAAGGGCTATTATAACATTAACTAATATCTAAAGAATGCTGCATCTTGTACATTATTGGTGGTGTTGGTTGTGACCTAATTTAGCTACATGTATCTTAAATATAATTAATTTCATTAGTTTCATATTGTTAAGTGCAAAAGACAGTTACTTAACTACATCTATTAACTCGTCGAGTACCGTCATTGTAGACACAATTATAGAACAATAGGTTGCGGTCACCGGTGACCACTTGGTGTTTGACAGTTTAATTATTAATAACATTTTACCAAGTGCTATAATAGAACACTAATTTTCTAACACTGCTATATTGCTGAAGGATATTGATTAACAAGTGTTAAGACGGTCAGCGGGTACCCATAGACACAACTGATATTAATTAACTAACTTTAAATTAATATAGAATACTTATAAGTGGTAGTGTATATTTATGTTTTAATCGTTGTTAACATGGATCGACACAAGAGATCTCGGAGATCCAATAGCACATCATCCTCAAATTCAAGTTTACATTGCAATGTGAACAAGAAGAAAAGATACAGGAGAGAATTGAGAAGAAGCAATCAACATATTGAATCGTTGGAAGGTCTTGTTAAGAACCTGTGGGATAGTCAAGATAATTAAGGAGAATGGTCCTTGGAAAGTTTATGATCATTACGGACAATTGTATGGTATGTTGGCACATATGATTTCATTCCTGAGTTAGATCCTCAATCGTCCACTGTCCCAATTGAACGCTGGCTGAGGAATTTAGAAAGCATTTCTAAAATTCATGGCTGGGATGAACCCACCTTAACTCGTCGAGTACCGGTTTTGTAGACACAATTATAGAACAATAGGTTGCGGTCACCGGTGACCGCTTGGTGTTTGACAGTTTAATATGCAATTGTACATCTAAACTGCGTGGCGAAGCCAAAAGTTGGTATGAGAGACAGCCAACATATGTTGGCTCATATGAGTTAAGTTGGAGTCAATGGAAAGAAAAATAAATTACAGCTTTTCCTTTTACAAAAAATAAGCTTTGCCAAATTAGAGAGCTTGTTAATCGAGTAATTACCCAATGATAATGTTATTGAATTTTATTACAAGAAATTGGGTATAAGTGTATACTTGTACATTGTCAGTACGTTGACACAATATCGTGGCAATAAAGCATTTGCTTGTCCTCGCTTCAAAATCAAAAGGACAATTCAAATAAATGTTCTTTCTGTAATAAGTCAGATCACACAGAGTCAGTGTGTTTTAAAAAGAAGTACCAAGACAAATTTTGTTCTAATTTTTTTATTTTTTTAAACTTTGCCCCACACTAGGATTATCTCCTGTGTCGTGGGTGCGTTTACAAACATACAAGTTCACATACACATGACACACAGACCCGAAACAACAATTTGTGGATCGCACAAAGTGTTGTTCCGTGTGGGAATCGAACCCGCGACACGTTGCACGGCAGCCGGTTGCCCAGCCACCGCACCAACCGTGCAGTCAAGGCAAAGGTCGCAGTCGTGCAAAGGTAAACTAGTAGCTTAACGCTAAAATCTTACTGTATAGGACTACCTAATCCTAATGACTACTAGCTAACGTTATCCTACACTATCCTTGGTAATTTAACACTTAACGTAACAATATAGCAGTAAGTCTGTACTACTTCCAGTGATTGTAAGTGGTGCCTAAAATTAAATAATCTTAGAAATTACATAATATATTTCGGCTGATGAAATGCCTACATAATATGGGAATTCTAAAACTTGATGAAGGTAAAAGAAAATTAGCTCTAAAGACAACGATTTATTTACTTAGTCATCATGTATATGATCAAATGGATCCAACTCTATATAAGTGTAATCCGCAGCAGGATGAGTTATAGGAGAATTACGTCTTCTTAGATTTGTACTAGTTGTCATAGACGCATTGATTTTATCGTAAACCGTAGTACCATGTCCATTGTCATATACCCTTGTATATGCTGTGCTTGTTTCTTCATCCACTGCTCTATTTCTTATAATTACGAGTGGTTCTCTCGCAGTTACTTCTTTAGCATTATTATTTTTTGCTTTAGCTCTCATTTGTACTGTTGTTAAAGCTGTTTTACCATCAAGTTTATTATTTGTATCGTACTTTGATTTAATTGTAACTGAGTCCTTATTGTTATTTCTATCTTCTTTGTGTCCAACAATCATTTCTTTCCTAACTTCTTGTACTTGTTTTTCTAGATTACTTACTCTTCTCTCTAAATCATCGTTTACGTTGGCTGCTGTTGTGGTGTTACTACTACCACCTCTGCGATATATTTGTGTATATCTGAAATGAAATTTATATGCCGGAGTTGAGTATACAGGCAGGTCTTTGGCTCGAAGCAGGAGTATAAATGGAATGATAGTAAAAGTATAGTCAGTAAAAGTCACATAGTGACACTCTACCGCCTCACTCAAGGTGGCAGAAGACAGTGGATGATTTTCTACCCTCAAAAAGGAGCGTATAAGAAAGAAACCCCTAAAGATTTAATTCGGTAGTTAAACATTGAACACTACTAGTCGAATTAACAAAATAAAGTAAGTTAAAAGTTTAGTAGTTCAACATTAGACGAACATAGAAAGTAAATCAATATTTGCAATTTACTGTGATCAAGATTTTGTAGTTTGATAAGCAAATGTATTACTAGAATATTTTTAGCAATAAATACGTCTTCTACAGTTGACATTAAAGCGTAGTATTTTAGTAACTTTGTATATGTTAGCGTTTGCCTACAAACAACTTCTTTGTTATGGCATAGGTCGGTAAACGAGCAGACGGATGACAAGCAAGACTCCTGAAATATTAGAGGCATTACGAGTACGTTACCGTTTCGGGGATTGGGGAGATTGGGAAGTGGGTAATTAAATACAATGCAAGCGTTGATTTACGTCGGTTTTCTGTGAAAAGCTACATGTCACACAGCTTGCTACCAATAACGGAAGAGTTCTATATCTTACCTTCCTCCTCGCCATAGACCGGGATGAAACGCCCTTTTATATCCAAACGTATCGCTACCAGAAAAATGTTTGCCTAACCCATTTTTATTCTTTGCTTCATAGTATTTATCATTATCACGAGGTGTCATTCCTATATTATCTTCATCCTCTTCAATTGAATACTGTTGCTTCTTTTCTCTGTACTTCTTTTTATCTTTTGATTTATGTTTCTTTTCGCCAGTGGCCATCTCATATACTTTATTAATATCGTGGTTGTTTAAATGTTTCATTGCATATCTTGCTAAACCTTTCACATATTTTGAGTTCTCGTCAGATGATTGTGGTTTATTTTTGTGGTTTGGTTCATTATTGTTTCCTATTTGATTGGCTTCATCCGTTTCATCGTTTGAATGTACCTCGTCGAAACCTTCAGTAACTAAAGTTACGTAACGGTGCGTATTAAACTCACGTAGTTTCTCCTGGAACTGCTCTATAGAATTAGAAGAAGAGTCTAAAACTTTTTCTGACTCCGGATCTGTATTTTCATTTTTATTAGCTCTTGCTTCAACACCAGTTACTTCTTCTAAATCATTGCTGGATTCTTTATCTTCTGTCCCTGATATATAAAAGTTAGTAGTAGGAGGTGACACATTAAACTGTCTTGTGTTGAAAGTTGAAGTTTGTGTTCCTTTCATTTGATTCCAAATATTCTGTATTCTTTCTTTCAGTTCTATTTTAGCGTTTACATGTAAATGTGTATAGTAGTCGAATATTAATGCCTTCAGCGCATCCTTTATAACTTGTGCCATATTATCGTCCAATCTTCTAGTTTTCGGCTTGTTGTAATATTGCAATTCATTTAAAATCTTTTCGAATTTCTCTACAGTTTCTGGTCCGTACAAGGAATTGATATAATCAACGAAATCTTTGACTTTCTTGTCATATCTCTCGTCTCTAAGTATATCAGCTACAGCATTTATATTAGCTTTCGTTTCAGAGACCGGTTTACCACTGATCAAGTTCAATTTAGTTTGCAACATCCTTCTAGTGTCGTGGTGTTTGGTTAGCTCAGAGAATTTACATCCTCTGTAGTGATAGTTCTTAACTTCTTCGTTTAAAATGTCGATGAAGTCTCCGAAGGTGGTATCTTCATAAGTATTGATTATATTAATCGCTTGTAGTATGAATCCAGTGAAGGTTACTACTCTTGGTGTTGTGACCTGGAACTTAGGTACCTTACCTAGTGTTTTAGTCTTTGCTAGAAGGTCTTTGGCAATGTTAAGTGTTCTTTCTTCCTTGGTATGGGGTTTGCCTTCGATTGCTTTTTTTACTTTTATGTCTTTGTTAGTATCTTGAGAGCTCGTTTTGATGAGAGCTGTAAATACATAGATCATTATATTAGTTACGTATTATTTGTTTTATAAGTGGGATTAACATAACTACGATATTAAAAGGATCTAATAAAAAGATAAAAGTGAAAAGTTTAAGTAAAAACTGATCATTCGACTATATACTTCGAATATATCGAATAGGTATTGTACCTATAAATTTAAGATTTTTGGACTTAAAAGAAGTAAATGTATTTTATAAGGATGTTAGGAAATAGCGTATTAAATTGGCATTTAATTTATTTTTCCTAGAGACTCGTCAAAAATATTTTATTGAAAAGAAAACAAAATAAATACCGAATATCGTGAACAGCAGAACACAAGCGCACACTTTCATTTTAATATAAAAATACTAACATTTTATTGTACCATAAAACTTGGTACACATTGCGTGAGCAACTATTTTTATATTTGTAACTATTTTATTGACAATAAAAATTGGAATGGCTACTGATTTTAAACTTAATGTTGTTTCAAAGTTGCAGTATTCAGTTCTAACAAATGTTTTTAAAACTCTCAATTCTGAACAAACTCGTTTGAAGACAGTCAATATTGAAAATGTGCTACAACAATACAATTACAAAAGTGAATATTTCCAACGTGAAACCAATTATAAGTTATAAATAATGCTACTACTATTTCTGATGTTATTTCTGCATTATGATTTGTTATTTTCTCAGCAGTTTGACGCAGGTTTGTCACAACTATACTAAGGAACAAGGAAACGGAGCCGCTAGCGTTTTATTAATTGATAAATCTTTTCTCATTCAAATAAGTCGTATAAAACGCAATTCAGTTACAATGAGAGCATTTGGTTGTAAAACGAACATCTTTTTTAAGGTATAGAGGATTCGATAAAATGAGAAAGAAAAACGTCTGTGGCTCCGCCTCCTTACTCCCAATTGTAAATGCTCAAAGTGATATGTCCCTAAAATTAATATTCTGATCGATTTCGGCTACAGTGACTTGCCCATCGGGGACCTCAGTTACACATTTCTCAATATTTACTACAACAAATCTTATGACTAATTCTCAAAACTAAAATCTACTCCACAGCAGAAATATTTTTACCATTTGATAAAACTCTGACGAAAGACCACCAACCTCTGGAAGACAGAACTAAACTAAAATATGTTCAAAGACACGGCCGAACGACTTTAGATCCAGTCGTGTCGTCAGTTAGAGATAAACTACTTGATGACTATCGCGTGTATATGGCCACGTTAAGTACGGATGTAAAGAAAGGACAGATTGTCGATGATATAGCAAATGGACCCAATATACTCAGAGAACGAGACAGTAATAAAGCAAACGACAACACAGCGACATCCCAAGAGACTTCAATCAGAGACTTAGATTCAGAACCTGACAAGAATGAAAAACTGATAAGAGAACTGAAAGAGAGTATGAACATAAAAGGTATAGATGTAACTATTTTACCTGATAAACTCGTGACGTCTGATCGAGATGACAGTAAAACGGATGAAAGTAAAAACGAAGAAGATAGAGATGGAACAGAAGATAGCTCAACAGATGATCATGAAGAAGAGAATGAAACTGCTGAAGAACGTGAAGAAACTACTCCAAGTAAGGATAATACAAATGAATCCAGTGATGATAGTGATAAAACTCTTATAATGGATGGGATTGACGATACACAACTAGATAAAATTGGTGATATACTAAATATGGAGAGACAAAAGACAGAAAAACAACAGTCAACTGAGACAGAAGATGAATATGTTACAACAACGAAACCAAGAAGAAAAAAAACGACAAAAACTACAACACTGGAACAATTCAATTATGATTTTGTAAAAAAAACTACAGCCCATGTAAATAAATTTACACAGTCAGCGTTAAGAAAACACAAATCATCAACGCATAGAAAATTGAATGTCAAGAGAATTACAAAGAATCGAATCACAGTAAGCGGAAAATATACGACAAAGCATAAAAGGCTTCACGCTAACAAACTTACAAAGAAATCAAAGAATGTACGAGAACTAGAACCTACAACATATAAAATTGATGAAGAAGCGGAAACAAGCTCTGAAACTACATCAGTACAAGTGAATATAAAACGTAAGTAGTATCTAAATACTTTCTTCTACTACTGAATGTCATAAATTATGATTACGGACTGTTTAAACTTGTTACTAAAGCTATCAACAGTCTATAAGCAGCCACTGCTGACCAAAGGCCTATTCTCACACGGAGAAGGTATGAGCATTTATCACCACGCTCAATGCGCATTAGCGGTAAACTTATAATTAGAAAATAGCTCCGGTTTCCTCACGATGTATTCCTTCACTATATTTTTACTGTAAACTTTGACATCTACTATCTTAAATGATAAATCTTCAATTTAACTGTTATCCAGGTACGCCACAAACTACAACCACGATGCTGCCATACTTCCAAATGATTGTTGATCTGGATGAAGGGCAGCAGAAGCAGTAATCAGCTCATGTCCAGTCAACTGATGGTAGCGAGGTTGACTTGTCAACGACACACGTACTTACGTATTGTCATGAGCATATAGTTCACATATGTAAACTACGCTAATTCTATTGATATTCTTGCAGAATACGCTTCGAAATTGAATAAAAAGATAAGTGGACGTCACCAAGAGCTATCTTCTGAAGTCAACACCATCATAGACTATGCTGATATGTTGTATGATGATGAAGAAGGCACGAAGCTCTTCAATATTCTCAAAGATTTTGATGACTATCCTAACAGTACGTGTGTGAGCGATGTGGTTTTGTACACAACGCCATCTATTAGTCGATCCTTGAATCTCAAATGTAGGAATTAGGGCATGTAAAACCGGTTTTCCGGTTTTGCGCAAAACCGGAAATCGGCCAAAATTTAACGATTTTTAAAAACCGGTTTTGAGAGCCAAAACCGGAGCTCAGCTCCGGTTTTTCCAATACTGAGTAACAATTAACATTTTGATTTTTATCAACATTTTTTTGAACACTCTCAAAAAATAATTCAATTTTGAGGCATCAAATGTATCCGAACCGAACACAGTCTGCATCTACCCACTTACACGCCTCCCTCCACTACCCCCGCACGCTGAAGAGCTAACTCTTCAAGAGCAGCTAGAGATGGAATTACACAAATGCAAGAGAGAGAAAGAGAACCCCCAAAGATCGGTCAGAATTCGACCTGGCTGGGTTCGTAAAAGTAGAGCAAGCCATGTATGAAAGCGGAGGGCATCGGGGTATGTATCTCACCGAAGCATATAATTATTTATTATGTGTTCTACCAACAAGTGTTGAGAGCGAAAGGGTGTTTTCGAATGCTGGGTATTTCTGTAACAAAATAAGAAGTTCGCTGTCTGATCGAATGTTGGATGCACTTATATTTTTGAGATCACATTATCAAGAACAGCGATCTCTTGAAAAGAAGTGATTTATGCTTTATTTAAATTAGTATATATAGTTGATTATTGATCTCTTTTTTAGTGCAATATGAATCATAATTATAATAATGTTACTTTGTAGTTTGTCTTCAAAGCTACAAAAATGTTGATTGTTTTGGTAATTGTCAGATGCTGATTGTGTTTTCTATGTTTAAAATATATTATTTTTGATAGGTACCAAAGATACCACAAACTTACTTGTTGTTGATTTGATCTCAGTTAATTAATCTATAAACTATTATAAGTTAATTATTATCTGTACAATTATTGTAGTTTGGATTAAAAAGAAATTTATCATACATTTTGTTTTATTTGTAGACTTAGTGGGTATTTAAAAAAAAAGGTGTTTCTTTTTAAATTATACTACATTAGATTTTTTTTGCTAAAACCGGACCTAGCTCCGGTTTTCGGTTTTGGTCCCAAAAAAACGATGTTCAAAACCGGTTTTGATGACTTTCCGGTTTTGCATGCCCTAGTAACAATTCAAAGCAATAATGCTGTGATTTTGTTTTTTTTTTAATTCCAGCTACACGACCAGGCTATACAGTATGTTTGGCATTAATAGAAAGCTTCCTAAAGCCGTATCATCGGCTCAGTAATACAGTTCTACGTCAACGATTGTTAGACTCTATTAACTTTGAGCTAAAAGCTATAATCGCTCAACCAGACCTGTGGAAGATTGATGAAGATTTGGGATTTTTAGGTTTTAAAGAAGGTACTTATATTACAGTTTATATCGAAATATAATTGTGCCCGGTTTGTGGCTACGTCTCCTGCATGGTCCTAGAACGTTTCACAGACGATCGTATCTTGAAACGAATTGTGCGAATCCCCGTACCATTCGCTTCGTGCTTGGCAGAACATTCGTGGTCTTTCGTGGTACCTCTAGTGTTGCAGGTGTACTTAGACTACGGTGTCCGCTTACCATCAGAACAGCCGTAGGCTTTATTGTGTAAAAACTACTAACGTCGTATCCGCCTTCTCTTCCACAGCAACCGAACAAACCCCGTCTGTACAATCAGACAGCGACACCACAGTCTCATTCACAAGGAAAAAACAAAAGAAATTGACACAGAATTTACTAAAGCTGAAGTCGAAAGCAAAACATCCGACTATCAAACGAAAACACACAAATGTCCAGCCAAATTACAGCAATGAAAATGTTTATAGACGTAGATTAAGTTATACAACTGAATCTCAGTACAATTATCCTTTGTTAAGAAATATGAAGCCGATCACAAGTATACAGAGACGGTACAAAATTGTTACTCCGACACATCGACACATGTTAAGGCACAGGTCTACACGTAGTTATATAGTAAACCTAATCAGTAGACCCACCAAGGAGTTCACAAATAAATTATAATATTATAAAGCTAAGAATCAAGCGCATACTAGATTTCCATTCCTCAATGAGACAGCACGATTTCGAACGCATTTGAGGCACAGAGACTAAGATCACAGGATTGAAAGTGTTCATAATAGAAATGCGATTAGCTATCAGAAAAATAAAACATACTTTTACAATCAAATGAGGGATGGAATTAAGCAACTAGCAACTGTTACAAAGACTGAAAGGCTTAAGACGATTCGCAATGAAAGCATAACGTCAGATCAATAACAATAAGATAGGCAAAGGTGACTAGAAAGTGTAAGTCTAGGAGAGTCGTCGACATGAATGGGCCGGCTCGACCGGACTGATACCACGGCCCAGCAGAAACTCGACGTGTAACAACGCTTGCGTTGTTTTATTTAAAACTTGAATTATCATTATGTATTTTTGAAATAAAACGGTTTGTGTTGTTATTTTTAGTTTTATTTCCTCATAATCTTCATCATCACATATCAGCCCCGTACTGTCCACTGCCTCCCACAGTCCTCCCCCAATGACTACACATCGCCAGGTTGGTAGCGGCCTGCATACAGTGACCTTCGCAGACCTTTACCAGGTCGTGTGTCTCCCTTATGGATACCCTGTGGTAATGCACATGAGTAGTTTACCACAGTATAATGAAATACATCCCTACTGACTGACTGTGTATAAACAAATTAAGTTTGTTTGCTTGTATGGAAGCGTGCAGTGGACAGTCGTGCGTTGTGTTTGACAGGTCTGTACGACGTCAATGGTTTTGTGAACCTGACTAAAAAAGAATAACCTATGGAGTATTTTACTCGTCGCTTTGTCTCCATAGGTTTTTATACCTTGACCTTCAAAAGCGTTCCTGGTCTAATTGAAATAAATGTTTTTGATTATGACTTTGTCTCAATAATTAAACCATCAGTAGTTTATAAGCAGTTGCTGTTATGATCACTAGGCCCGTTAGGAAAAAAATTAAATTATAAATAAAAAAAGAAACACGTATGAAATAGATGCATTACAATTTATTTACTACATAATACCTACTGATTAATTTTTATCCTCTCTATCAATTTATTGTAACTGAGTACTGTCAGTCTGATTGAAAAAGAGTAAACATGGAGCTTCTTACTCGTTCTCTATAGCTACACCTTGGATCGAACAAATAGAGGAACTAGAGAACAGACCGACAGGCTGACACTTAGTATCTTATTTGACATTCAAAATTGCCTTCTTGGTCTCACTGAAATAAATGACTTTGACTTTGACTTTGCGTGGTTCTCTTCCGATTCAAAATTACTCTCTTCGTTCGTATTTCTGTGCATTTCTTTACGATTAGTTGTAAGATATTTATTTGATGCAGTGTCATGTTTAACATCACCAAAGTCATTGAAATATGGATTTCTGTCCAAACGACTATCTGCATACAAAATGCTTTCTTTCTGATCATCGAAAATATTACCAAATAGTAGATTTTTGTAATTTATTGTCGTTTCTTTAATTCTATTATAATTGACTTTATATCTCACAGCTTTATTATTAGTTTTAGTAGCTGTTAAAATGTAATAGTTGTTGATGACCGGAGTTTTCACTTCTTTTGTGTACTTATTTGTAGTTATTGCAAACTTTTTGTTATTGAGTCGAGAAGAGAAATGGTTTATGACATCATCAGCTACTTCTTTCTTCTCATTCGTTCTTTTCCTGTTCCGTCTGCTGCGTTTGTTAACTTCTTGGAAATATTTGGAGTTTATTCCATTTGTTGTTGTTTGTGCTGTGGAATGTAATTTTATCTTGCATTGTACGTTTATAGTTTTATTGCAACTGTTTATTGTAGAGCTAAAGAAGTATGTAAGTATCGAAGCAGATGAATTTTTGTAATTTCTGTTACCACTATGAGACACAGATGTGAATTTTTCTATATTATAAGTAAACTTACGTTTAATTCTAAAAAGTATTCCATTAAGTCTTCGTGAAGGGAATTTATTCTTTAATGCGGTATTGATAGAGTTGAATAGCGTTTGACCGCGCTCTAAATGGCTGAGTCTTCTGTACGGTCTCATAAAACAGTCGAATATAAATTCACAAAGCTGTTTTGCGTTTCTTGTACCTGAAATCCGTTAATAATTCCTTACATTAGGTCGAAAACTATGTTTCTTACATTCTTAATTTACGAAATGGCAAGCCAACCGACCCAGAGCTACGGACAACTAAACGGGTTGCCGGGGCTCGGAGCAGGAGTAGGAACGTGATGGTGATTAGGCAGTAAGAATCAGACAGACCTCTCGCCTCATCACAGGCGGAGGCGCGGCAGGCAGGAGTCAATAGCAAAGAAAACATTATCTTCGGCCCGTTTTTGCCCACTGCTAGACATAGGCCATTCCAATATCCCGGCACTGAGCTCAATTTTCAACTCTTCGCATCCACTACCGGCTACTGAAACAACGATATCGGTTGTGAGGCTCGCAGCCGATATCGTCACTTCACTTAGCTGGATGCTATACCGTCTGAACGTCATGACGTCATCCGGTCTATTCAAATACATGGTTCACACCCTGTACAAACAAATGTCAAACTTACCATTAGGATATTGTTCATACTCCATAATGGCATCGAAGAGTTCCCATCCCTCGCCATCAGTGTACAGCAGATCAGCATATTCTATAATGGAGTTCAAGTCAACTGCTACAGCTGTCTTCCTGGTTTGCAGCATATGATACAGCATTGATGAGTAGCCTGGCGGGAGTAAAGCAGCAGGTCATCATTTACATCGGTTAGAACAATAAGAGAACGTCATTTCTTTCAAACTTTTCTCCATCACCAGCCACAAGACGTCCACTGTTTTTATAACTATCGTGAGACATGGTGAATTACCTAAAAACTTACTATATCACACTCCAGACTTTCGATAGTACTCTCAGTACTACACTCGAAACTAGTATAACTATTCTTAGTATATTTACGTAAGTGCTGAACATAGACCTTCCCCAATGACTCCCATATAAGCTGCTAGGAAGTGACCTGCATCCAGTGGCTCCCTGTGAGTGTACCTGACTGGATCATCCATCCACCTACGACCTGGCCCTGCCCCAGCGGACGTCTGTTCTCCGCGCCATGTGCCCTGTCCACTGCCAGTTCAGCTTGCTTAGCCGCTGTGTTATGTCAGCGACTTTAGGTCGTTTGCGGATCTCCTAACTTCTGATTAATTCGACCACGCAAAGGCACCGGCCTCTTCTTATAACTTCCACTTACTTCTAATATAATCGACCTCTGATACGCTGAGGAACCGGGAAAGCTTCACGATGGTGTCAGCCAGGGGTTGTCCTAACCACATCAGTCGATCAGTGTCGTACCAACTGTCAATCATAAAATGTAATTAAAGTGCTGTGTATGAATGTACCTTTGTCCGTTTGTATGATAACGAATGTTTTTTTTTTTGAAGGGGATAAATTTATCCAATGACTTCTTCCGCCTTGGGTGAGGCGAGAGGGAGTGAAAACCACCCCCATTCCTACTCCTGCTTCGAACCAGATCCTCGACCACCAGTTAAGCGGTTGCAGACAACTTAAGTGGTCGTCTAGCTCGAGAGAATTTAACAAAAGTACAAAAAAAAATTTGTTTCGTTTCGTTGGTTTAGTTATCTGGCATATTGTATGCATAGATTATGATGGATGGAGACAATGAATACGAACGTATTTATGTGTGGTTCCACTTCTATTAACAGTTCTTTTACTAGTCTCTTATCTTTCTCGGATGTGATCCTGAATATTTCCTGTAGAAATATGGTTAGAAATCCTTCGTTTCTGTCCTCCATCAGCTTAAAGTAGACTTGTCTTAATGATGGAGCTGGTGTGGCAAAGGTTACAATATCTGAAAAAGTTAAGATTTTATTAAAGACTAGTTTCTGCCAACGGTTACCGCACGCGCTCCCGTGGGATATAAAGATCCCGTGGGATTTTATACTGCGATCTCCAACCCGCCTGGCTGCGGAGATTATGAGAAACCCTCTTATGTAGAGGAGACTCATAGTGCAGCAGTGGACTGTCATTGGTTAGATAATGATGATAAGTGTCAGAATGGATGGAAAAAGCTTTGAAAGAGCTCTAATCCCTAGGTTGTGAATTTCATTGAAACTGAACATTTCACACTGGATAGGGCACATAGCTCAGAGACCCGACGGCCGCTGGGGCAGAGGATTCTCGAGTAGAGGCCATGTACCGACAAGCGCAACGTAAGACGTCCACCCACCAGCTCAAGCAGGACTGAGGACCTAATAAGAGTTGCAGAAAGCCTCTGGATACAGATCGCTTCCAACCGATCTGGAAGTCCCTGAGGGAGGCCAGTGGTTTCCAGCAGTGGATGTTTGGTAGTTAATATAATGATGAAGATGCTATGCAGTTTGCGATAGTTTGACATGCTATGCATACCTTTATATAATACGTTCCCTGGAGTGCCTGGTAATTCAGTATCTTTAGTGGTGCTCGTCAATATATTGTACTCTGGTGTTTTCCTCAAAATATCATGAGCGTCCGTTTTTGGTATTAAGCTTATAAAACAATTTAAACAGATGAATAAGTTTTGAAACACAGATCGAGAGCGATTGGGACTCGACTGATTCTTAGATTAATTCAAAGTGTAGGAGTATTGCCACGCTGCTGCACAAATGGGCCGGCTCGATCGGAGCGATACCAAGGCCTAACAGAAAAATAGCATTAAACAACGCATGCGTTGTGCTTCGCCCTGTAAGTGAGGTTACCGGAGGGTCAATTCTTCCCTTCCTCATCCTTTAATCCTCAATTTTCAAATTCATAACCATCAAAACGCCGGCAACGCTCTTGTAACACCTCGTGGGTGTCCATGGATGGCGCTGATTGCTTACCATCAGGTGCTTCGACTCTCGTTTGCTGGCCTATTCTATAAAATCGTAAATGATAAAAATGTGTACCTTGCGGTTGCTCTCGTGGCAGTGGACAATTTGTAGTCCACAGGATCGTCTCTGTGTACAGGAATACCTAAATCCTTCATTTTTTGAAGCCATATTTGCGATTTGGACAATGTACTCATCTGTGGCCCTGTTGAATATATAATAATTAGTAACTGCATCTTTTATTGCTTCGACAGTGGAATCACAAGTCTGCGGACCGCGAGCAAGGGTAGCTTGCTGACCGATCAGAAGCAGACCCAAGGGTACGGCACGTCACTTTCCACGCGCGCTTCAAACGGCCACCAGACCACCACAGATGTGGCCCGGGAGGTCAGCAATGCACTTACAACTCCATACCGGTGTATCGGGTGTCTATGGACGGCGCCAAATACTTACCATCAAGTGATCCGACTGCTCGTTTACGGGCAGTGAAAAAGAAC